AGGAAGAGAAGGCAGAAGCTGATGCTGACTTGGGGAGGGACTGACAGGGAACTCCACCACCCTGGACTTGGTGTTCCAGCTCTGAGCTAGCCTCCTGGGAAAACCCATAGATCTGTCTCCACTATCTCCATGGAGTGGGGAAGTAAGAAGGCCAGAGCACACCTGGAGCCTTTCCATTCTTTCCCTACAAAGCTTTCCCAACCCTGCTGGCCTAGGGGTCTCTGCCAAATGCAAGCAATGGTGGCTGACACCCTTGCTATAACAAGCTTTGAATAAATAGCTTCTGTTTGTTCTCATTTGGATTGTCTTTGCATATTTCTACTGACCCATCTCCCAACCCCCACAGACAAATTAGAAAAGATAGAGAAGGGAAGGGAGTGAAGAAGTTCCCCAGAGGAAACACACCTGTCCATTCTGAGCAGGTTTGCCCAGGTGGAGGCAAAGTGGCTGGATGGCAGCAAGGGCTGGCCGGCCTCTGCTGTAGTCTCCCAGGTGACTTCTGGCGGCCTTTAAAGCTTAAGTTTCTTGGTTGTTTTGGAGGCAGTGATGTTGAAGGCCATCGAGGTGCCAGGTATCTTCTTTGGTTGAACCCCATTGAGAGACTGCCCAGGGAGATTGCACATCTCCGCCCTCTGCTATATGAAGTCCTCTTGGCCCCACTTGCCAGCCATGCACAGCAGCAGGGACTGGGAGCTGATCTTCAACCTCACTTGAAGTTTAAGGAACATGGCTTGGCCTCTGGAAGTTTCAGAATCAGTCCTTACATTCAAGTTCATTCAGGTTCCTTCTGGCACAGCTGAAGACAGATTTCTTCTTATAATCTTGAAGAACCTTCCAGTGGCCCTTGTGGGCCCTGAGTCATTCCAGAAAGAGAGGTTGGGGTCATACCAAAGGAAAAATTCTCATGGTCACGCACCTGTCAAGGTGCCCAGCATACATGGAGTTTCTGTTGGATACATCCTGGGGGAAACCGGTTCTGCCTGGGGCTCCCTCCACCAGGGCAGTGATGTGATGGGCTGCGGAGGAAGCCATAGAGACAAGCTGAACTTCTGGGCTGGGATGCTGCACATTATAGATACTCTTTGTGGGGCACAACCCAGAGGCCTGGGGGGCTGCACTGGGGCCAAACTGGATTCCTGGTGCAGGAAAAGCAGGGCTGGGGAGACTGAGGTAGAAGCCCTGGAGGTCCTGGACTCTCTCATAGTTAGGTTGTATTTGCTATTCTAGATGGAGGTCTGGCCAAAGCTGGCCTCCAAATAAGGGCATTCTTGCTTTGATTTGTGCTGGTTGAGAACTCTCGCTGAGCACAGGGCTGGTCTTCTCCTCCTCTAGGCGAGATAGGGAGCTAGCAGTTTGAGCCCTGGTCCATCAGTGAGGCCCAGATCTCTTCTGTGTGTAACCCATGGACACAATCAACTCAGGTTGCCAGGGTCCTTGTAGTCAGTGAGTAGCTCCATGTAAGGCTTTAGTTCATAGTCTTTATGGCCCACATTCATCCATGGAGCTTTCATGATTTGCTTTGAAGTACTTCTCTTACTGGGACTAAGGATGAGACATTTCTTCAGCAGATTTTCACACTCCATGAACATGTAGAAGGGAACATGATATTTCCCATTCAGCATCTGTTCCTGCAGCTACTTGAAGTTCCGTCCATCGAAAGACAGGCGTCTTCTGACAAGTGTATATACAATGACTCCCATGCTCCACATATCCACTGTGGTTTCATTGTACTTTTGGCCCTGGAAGAGTTCTGGGGCAGAATGATGAGGACTGCTACAAAAGGTATCCAGCTTTTTGCCAAAGGTGAATTCCTTGCTGAAGACGACATCTGCAATCTTGATGTCCTAACAGCATCCAAGGGCAGGTTTTCTGCTTTTAACTCTATGCTCACTAAACTTCTGGTGACCGTACTGCACAGCAGACACTGGCAGAATTTACTTGGGTCACTTTTTCTTTCACATTTCCATGAGCCATTAGGTAATGAATCACACTCCTCCATTAGTGTACTTCATAAAAAGTAGAGTCTCTCATTCTTGATCTCTTCAAATAACTATGTTAGCATGATTCAGTCTTCACTATTCTCACTTCATGGGAGAGTTTCCAAAGGCAGGAGGAGTTCTGTTTGGTCTTGCCAATGATCTTGACCCTGATGCTCAGCCAAGCTTGGATCAGGCTGGCCTGTGCTACAGCCTCTAACCTCAAGGCCCCTACCAATGGGTAAATTTTAATGAAAGTAAACAAAAGTTTTGAGGTGAACCCTGATACTGAGTCAAGCTTGAATTCTGACTGATCCTACTCTCTATCCCCAGGGTCCCTACAAAGTAACTTCCTGGGGCAGATTCTAACCCTGTGCCAAGCTTAGATTATGTCCAGCCTGAGCTACAGCCAGGAGCCTCAGAGCTACTTCCAAATACTGAAACGACAGATAAGACAGGAGGTTGGAATGCTTCATAAGAGAATGGGCAAAACAAGGGGAAAGAGAAAGGGAAGAGAAAGGAATTCATCCCAGCGGGGTAGAGATCTTTAGCCAGTTATTAAGAAATGGGAGGAGTAAAATGAGTATCGATGGGGTCAAACAGGTTTTTCTTCATGCAGCACCCTCACAAGCTGGGTAGTTGTTACTCAACAATGAAGGATTCTAAACAAATCTGCTTTATTCTCCCTTGTTTGAAGGGATTTAGAAAGGTGCAGGACAAATATGACAATGAGAAACCTGACCTCCTGTTATCTGGGTCTGTGGTCTCAAATCTTATTTTGTGAATTAGTATCACCACATTCTTGAGGAACCTAAGTAAAATGCGTCATGAGAGTGACATAGTCACTGGAATGTAACCCAGCTGTAAGTGGTGGACTACCTGTACTGTGAAACAGAGGAGCATGTTTTTGTTGACACTGGACCCACAGCTCACTCTTGAACAATCATACAATCCCAAACCCACTATTGTCCAGTCAATTTTAACTCATAGCGACCCTATTAAAACAAAAAACAAACACAGTGCCATTGAGTCGGTTCTGACTCATGGCGACCCTATAGGACAGAGTAGAACTGCCTCATAGGGTTTCCAAGGAGTACCTGGTGGATTCAACCTGCCGACCTTTTGGTTAGTAGCTGACCTCTTAACCAGCGACCCTGTAAGACAGAGTAAAACTACCACATAGGGTTTCCAAGGTTGCAATCTTTAGGATAGCAGATTGCACATCTTTCTCCCACGGAGCAGCTGATGGGTTCGAACTGCCCATCTTTCAGTCAGCAGTTGAGCTCTTTAACCACTGCACCACCATGGCTCCTTTGATCATAACCAAACCAAACCTGTCGTTGTCAAGTTGATTCTGACTCATAGCGACCCCATAGGCCAGAGTAGAACTGCTCCATAGAGTTTCCAAAGAAGTGGCTGGTGGATTCGAACTGCCGACCTTTTGGTTAGCGGCTGAGCCACTGCGCCACCAGGGCTCCCTTAAGCAATCATAAAAACCCACCAAAACCAAACCCTTTAGTGTTGAGTTGATTTCTACTCATAAAGACCCTATAGGGCATGGCAGACCTGCTCTGTATAGACCTGCCCCGTTGGGTTTCCAAGGAGCAGCTGGTGGATTTGTACTGCCAATCTTTTGGTTGGCAGCCAAACTCTTAACCACTGTGCCACCAGGGCTCCTGAACAATCGCAGATGGTAGTTAATAATGCAAGCACACAGCTGTCTGATCCTAAGGGGGCAGCAAGCCTAACAGATGGGATAAAGGCTACTCTCTAAACTTTGTTTAAGGAGCCCTGGTGACACACACTGTTAATTGCTGGGCTGTTAACTGAAATGTTGGTGGTTCAAATCCAACCAGAGGCTGGGGTGGGGGAAAGACCTGGCAATCGCTCCCATAAAGATTGTTGTTGTTAGGTGCCATCATAGCGACCCCATGTATAACAGAATGAAACACTGCTCGATCCTACACCATCCTCATAATCGTTGCTGTTTGAGCCCATTGTTGCAGCCACTGTGCCAATTCACTTCTTGAGGGTCTTCCTCATTTTCGCTGACCTTCTACTTTACCAAGCATGATGTCCTTCTCTAGAGACTGGTCCCTCTTAATAACACGTGCAAAGTACCTGAGACAAAGTCTTGCCATTCTTGCTTCTAATGAGCATTCCGGATGTGCTTCTTTCACAACAGATTTGTTCGTTCTTCTGGCAGTCCATGGTATAGTCAGTATTCTTCACCAACACCATCAGTCTAAAGCATGAGTTCTTCCTTGGTCGTCCTTATTCACTGTTCAGCCTTTGCATGCACTTAAGGCGATTGAAAATATCATGGCTTGGGTGAGGCTCACTTTAGTTCTCTAAGTGACATCTTTGCTTACTGCAGTCTAGGAAACCCTAAGAGCTCGGCTGCTAACCAAAAGATTGCCAGTTTGAAGCCACCAGCCACTCCTTGGAAACCCTATGGGGTCGTTCTGCACTGTCCTATAGGGTCACTAGAATCGGAATCAACTCGACGGCAATGGGTTTATTTTATTTTTTTTAATGCCCTATAGGTTCGCAATGAGTGGGAATGGACTCCAGGGCGCACAAAAACAACCACCGCATGGTAGGAGGAAAACATCTCAGCTTCCGATATATGTGACCTACACACTCTCCTCTTTCACTTAAATTGTTTGAAACGTTAACGAAGGCAGCTCTTGTCCTTATGACCCCAAAGACTTTGAAATGGTTCAAAGGGAGGAGAACCCAGTTCTGTTGGAAAGAGAGAAACTGAGAGCCCACATGTGGTCGTGGGGGGAGGAAAGCTCAGACAGAGCCGACCACACTCCTTACCCCGCCCCTCGCCGTCCGAAACCGCGCCCCGCCCCTTGCAATCCTAGGCCCTATTTGGCCCCCTGCACAACCCTGCCCCGCCCCCTGCAGAGCCAAGCACCGCCCTCTGCAGAGCCAGACCCCGCCAGCGCTCAGCCCCGCCCCCTTGCAGAGCCCTGCCCCCTTCACAGTCCCGCCCCCCCGCGCCATTTCCGGTCCACACAGAGAGGCTCGCTCACAGAGACAGTCTCGCGAGGGTGAGTGGGTGTCGTCTTTCTAGTTCAGACCCGAGCTTCGCGTCCCCTTCAGCCCCGCGTCCTCCCCGCTCGGGGTCCGGGGGTCCCTGCGGACGTTCACGTCCCCGCACCCGCCCCGCCGTCGTCCCGGATCCGCGTCCGTTTCCGGTGAAAGCAGCTCCGAGCGGGTCCGTCCGGCCTTCCCGCCTCCGGCCCGGGGACCCGCGCGCCCCCTTTCCTGTCGGGGCCCCCCACCGACCCCTCCCCACCTCGCGCCCCGAAAGGCCCCGCGGGGGCTTGTCGTCTGCGTCCCCCGCCCGGTCCCCTGGGCTCGCAGGGCGGCGCCGGCCGCGCCCCACGGCCCCGGGACTCGAGTCAGAAAGTTTGGTTGATTCCGTCATTTTCAGTCCAATGATCTGTTTCTTCCTCTCATTCCTGAAGTTTATCATTTCTTTAAAGTTCTATTGATATTTACTTAGTTTTTAATATTAAATTTGAGTTTCCTTTGTCCGTTTCTTGGTTTGCAGATTTGAACAGTACGTTTATTTATTTTCAGACCCCCCCTTTTTCTGAAGGCCCCTCGGTAGCCCAAAAGGTTTGCATAGCTGTGCTAACCTGAAAAAAGATTTTCTGTTTGTATCCACACATTGGCATCGCGGAAGAGGCCTGTGCCTGCGGAAAGATTACAGCTAAGAAAACCCTGTGGAGCAATTCTATCCTGTAAACCATTGCCCGGAATGACTTCAGGGCAATGGTTTTTTTCCCTTCGTTTTTTTAGTATGTTTTTAAAGATTTGTTTATTTTAAGATCACTGCTTTGACCACATTTCCTGGTTTTCAGTACTTTGATTCTTTATGGTGACAATGACTCTAAACTGATCATTTACCAGTTGACACACAGGTTATAAAAACTTTTCCTGTAATCATATTCTGAGTCTATAACCTGTCCGTTCCTTTTCGATTTGTTTAGTTTTGCTTCCACTATCTGATGTTTGTTTACTTTCATTTTGATTTCACTGTGTAAGAAATGTGGCTGACCTAATGTCTCTTTTTTTTTTTTTTGAGATTGTTTCACAGCTTTATTTCTAATTGAATACAACACAATATCCAGTAATAGGAGAATTATTGAATGTGGTAAGATATTGTCTTATTTGAAATTAGCTGAATTTTTCTTTATTTGTAAGTACGTGACCCTATTTGATGAACGTTAAGCGTATCCAAGTGTCTTTGATAAAGGTTCGATTTGTATTCACTAATTTGTTGTTAGGTGCCCTAAGTTGATTCTGACTCATAGTGACACAATGTGACAGAGTAGAACTGCCCTCTAGGGTTTTCTAGGCTGTAATCTTTATGAGAGCAGATCACCACGTCTTGGGTTTGAACCACCAACCTTTTGTTTAGCAGCCGGGTGTTTGACCACTGCGCTACCAGGGCTCCATATTCACTTATTTAGATACACTAAATCCTCAATATGCTTACAATTTATTGCATTATAAACATGGTGATTTCAGTGGGAATTGTTTTTGATTTTTGCCTTCACGCTTAATGATTAATCAATTCTTCTCTGAATTTGTATGTTACTATTTAGTCATGTTTCCAACATACATTTTTATGTGCATACATTGGCATGACTATCCTATCTTCATGTTTGATTTTCCTGTTTGTTAGTTGCTATTGAGTTGATTCCGTATCGTGATGACCCCACGTGTTACAGAGTAGAACTGCCCCATAGGGTTTTCTTGGCTGCAGTCTTAAGGGAAAATGAAGGTACTGTTTGTTTACTGGAGGTTCTTATTGCAACAGTATGATCTAATGGGCAATCATGGTGATTTCCATTGTAATATACAAATGTCTGAGGAGCAATCTTCATTCTTTTTTTTGAGAAAATTAAAATAAGTACTACTTGTGTGGTGTGATAGATCACTTTTGTGTGGCCTTTCTCGCCATGGTTTTGGAACTCCCACCCAGGGGACTGGGCAGGGCTGTGCAATAAGGTAATTGTGGCCTATCAAAGAGATTGGTCAGTTTTGTCATCCCACTAGGCTTAAAATGAGCCATCCCCGAGGCAGGGAAGAGAGGATCTCACCACCACCAAGGAAGAAGAGCCAAAAGCAGAACATGTCCTTTGGACTGGGGATCCCTGCCCTGGAAGGTCCTGGAACCAGGAGACGGAGAGAGAGAAACAGAGCAGTACAACCTGAAGACGGTGAGAAATGGCAACAGGAGAGACCGGCAGGAGACATGTGGTGGGCTTCCTGGCATATGGAGTGAGAAAGCTGAGTGCCTTTGGGCAGGCGGCTTGCTAGAGGAGTAGGGTGCCTCTAGGCACTTGGTAGAGGTAGTTTTGCTGACCCACGGGAGCTAGTGCTGAATGCCTTCAGGCAGAGACTTCCTAGCAGAGTGGAGTGCCTCTGGGCACTTACTGGCAGAGCTAAAAGAGCTTTGTAACCCTTGCCAGAACAGGGGCAGAGGCCGGGGGGCCAGAGAGATGCGTGGTTGTGGGCATGGCTGAGAAGAGGCTGTCCTGATGGAAGAACTGTATCCTGAGCATTCCTGAGCCCGAATTGTAGTCTGTTACTTACTTAATAAGCTCCATAATTGTGAATATTGTCTGTGAGTTCTATGTGGCCATTGCAATCAGTTATCGAACCTAGCAATGATCAAACCCAGCAGAGAAGCAGAGTGCCGCAGGAAGGATGGTTGGTGTCAGGATTGGTAAAGATGGCGAAGGGAGGAGGCACGTGTGACTTTGGCCTCATTGGAATCAGCCTTGGTCTGTTGATCTGGATTCTCTTCCCCCCTTGTAAAGTTAGAGGAGGTCAGATGCTGCCGCCCCCCACACCATTTTTACAAGCAGAATTAAAGTACTGCCATAGTTAGCCAAACTTGAGGTTAAGGGCATTGTCCTCCAGAGTGCCAAATCTGTCTGAGATTTCTGGCATCAACTGCAAGTTAGGGAATTTACCAAAACTACCCTCAAGTTCCACATAGACTCTCAGAACTCCTTGGAAGCTATTATACTCATGATCACAGTTTTACAGGAAAAACAAAGAAATTTGAACCAGCCTAAGAAGAGACACATAGGGCAGAGTCTAGGAGGGTTGCAAATGCCAGGCTTCTACATCCTCAGGATGTGATCGATGGCATTGATGGTGACAGTACTCATGGATTATTGCCAACCCAAGATGCTCACGTGAGCTTCAGTGTCCAGAGTGTTTTTTTGAGTCTTCATCACATAGCCATGACTGATTGAAGTGGCTGAACTCTAGCCCCCTACTTGCCTCCCTATCCCCCAAGTTGGGCTGGTATCATGGGCTCCAAAGCCCTGTCACAAGAAACCCAAACTCCGTTTTGTAAATGCCTCGGCATCCCTTTTCTTCCAGCCTGTGCTTAAACATTACTTTTCTCAAAAGAGCAAGCCTGCTTACCTCGCTAACCAACTCACCCTCATGCGTGCATGCCAAACCCCAGAAAACAGTCCAGAGGCAGTTCTTCCCCTTGCAGGCTCTTTCTTTCCCCATCTATATGTCACATCTGGGAATCCAGGTAGGGACCCCATGTCCTCTCTACCAAAGTCACTCCCAGTTTCCCACCAAACCAAAAGAAAACAAACCCATTGCCATCGAGTTAATTCTGACTCATAGTGACCCTATAGGACAGAGTAGAACTACCCCATACAGTTTCTAAGGAGCACCTGGTGGATTCGAACTGGTGACCTTTTGGTTAGTAGCTAAAGTCTTAACCACTACACTTTTAAATTAGCCAGTAGTCGCTAAGCTCACAAAGCGTGCTCCTCCCCTTGTCCTCTATTAAAGGCTGAGCCCAGGTCTATTCATGCTCTCTCTGATTCTCCCCTTCTTCAGGAGTCCTGTGAATCTGTGTTTGGCTTTCAAGTATGCTTACCTTTAAGCCCTGCATTTTGGGTGTTGAGTGTTAAACTGCAGCTTTGTGTAACAAAAGAAACCTCCACCTATTTTCACACAGGTCCCTCCAGCTGACCCCTCTGGGTGGCTGTGTGTTTCCTCCTGCAGTGGGCTCTCATTCACCTCTTCATATTTGTCCAATATTAACACAGGCCCCAGGTCTCTAATCCCATGGTGGGTCTTTCTGGCATGTCCAGCTTCCACTCTGTGTCACCTCTTTAGTATAAACTATCAGGTGAGGACCAAGGGGCCCAGCACGAATCACAAAGGCAGTGCTATCACTCTGGAAATTCCAGTGCTTTAGAGGTTCCTTCCCAGGAGCCAGGACAAAGGCCAGGACTCTCTTTGGGATTGTTGTTAGTTGCCATTGAGTTCATTCTGTCTCATGGTGACCCCATGTGTGCAGACTAGAACTGCTCCATAGGGTGTTCAAGGCTGTGACCTTTTGTAAGCAGATCGCCAGGCCTGTCTTCTGTGGTGCCTCTGGGTGGGTTTGAAGGGACAACCTTTTGGCTAGTAGTTGAACATTTAACTGTTTGTGCCACCCAGCTGCCATAGAGCTCTCTTTAGGTGAGATCTAATTCTTTACTACAGAAGTAGACTTTAAATATGTCCATCGTAGTAAAATACTGAAAAACATGATTAGAAAATGATAATGAAAATCCAGCCAGAAAATCCATCGTTTAAAGACAGCTGCTTTCAGTTAACTGGTTAACTATACCGTTGGTTTGTGTGCGCTGTAGGTTTCTGTAAAACACACTTATCGTTTCATGAATTAGTTTTACATATTTTTCCCAGGGTCTTAAATATTTTTACACTAAGGAGCCCTGGTGATGGAGTGGTTAAGTGCTCAGCTGGTAACCAAAAGGTTGGTGGTTTAACACACTTAGCTGCTCTGTGGGAGAAAGACCTGGCAATCTGCTTCCCTAAAGATTACAGTGTGGAAAACCTGATGGGGCAATTCTACCGTGTCATACGGGGTCACTAGGAGTCAGAATTGACTTGACTGTACATAACAACAACATCATTTTAATAGTGTGAAAATGGTAACTAATTATGTATATGCATTTGTGTGTGCCTATATAATGATCTTTTAACT